CAGAGATGAAGACAGCCTTAGAGGTAGCACGGACCTATTGGGAGCAATAGAAACGGCAGCATTGTAGGGCAGTAGTGCATGATGAGAGTTGAGCTGGCTAGAAATGGCGAGCATCAGATCCCGCCGCTCGTCCAGTGACGCTGAATTGCCACTCTGGGATACCGAGGATGGCTCCTGATTGTCTGGGATAGACTCAAAGCCAACTTCATTAGGAACAGAAAGCTCAGGAGGTGAAAGAGAGATTGAAGGGAGAGACAGAGAAACAATAACACACAGAGCAGCCAATAATACTCAGAGCAGCCAGCAGCCAATAATACTCAGAGCAGCCAGCAGCCAATAATACTCAGAGCAGCCAGCAGCCAATAATACTCAGAGCAGCCAGCAGCCAATAATACTCAGAGCAGCCAGCAGCCAATAATACTCAGAGCAGCCAGCAGCCAATAATACTCAGAGCAGCCAGCAGCCAATAATACTCAGAGCAGCCAGCAGCCAATAATACTCAGAGCAGCCAGCAGCCACTAATACTCAGAGTAGCCAGCAGCCAATAATACTCAGAGCAGCCAGCAGTGTGATTGCAACAAAAGCAACGCAATGTGCTAACAGCAAAGCCACGCCTGCCGACCAACCCTAGCCACGTGGCAATCAGTTCATGGATATTAACTTCGTTTAACCTAGGTGCTTAAATTCCAATTAGCTGTAATAACATCACAACAATTATATCCTGTAGTAATTATCATAGCAAATTTTAATCATTTAGTAGCATCATGTGATTTCATTCGCTGACAAGGCATTAAAAGAAAGATGGAAAGAAGTGAGTCAGAATTGGATCGTAAAACTAATATATATATCATTTAGTTTGATGTTAATATTTTCATTATTCTTATAGATAATCCTTGTAATAAAGTCATAAGGTGCAGTGTGTTTTGGATCAATTTCACTGCGATGTTGATAATTACTGTGTTATCTATAGTGCTGTGTATCCTTTTTCTTCCATCTGATTCAACTTATAGCCCTTTCATTTTTTTAGCTGTTGTGATTGGGGGTAATTGTTGCTGGTTTTACTGTTTCACTTCATTCCTTTGTTGTATTGGTTCTATATTTGTTATCAAAAAAAAGTTACGAAGAAGAGAATTCCCCGTTTATTATTCGTTAGATACAAAAATAGGAAACCAACCGCTTTCACATAGTGGACAGGAGTCAGGCAATGAATTTTTAAAAATTTCTGAATCAGAATCAATGTCCCAAAATGACAAAATACCACTTATTAAACTTGAAACAAAGAATAATACTTCTGCATCTTCTGATTGCTCTCATTGCTCTATTGGACAATCTTCCTCAATTTTTACTTTGAATGGTAAAATATAAATCTATAATCTCTTTTATACAGTTTAATTTATGCAGATGATGCATCTATGAGACCCACTCATTACAATTCAGTTGATAGTGCATCTTCATTTGTGACGATTCCACAATTAGATAATTTAGTAGGTGACAATATTAAAGTGGAAACAGGTAAATAGACTAGCAAGCTTATAATTTGCATTTGAATTTCAAAATTTTTTATGTTCCTTGAAAACTGCACAGATTCATTTCAATTTCAATTGAACAGAGAACTAGACAGTAAGTAAATGTCATTCATTGTTTTAAAATTTTTATTCAAAATTTATAGGGAAATATTTATTTGCAAGCAGTAGCAGTGAGCAAACGTGTGACACAGTAACAGAAAAGGTACTTAAAAATATGAAAGGTATATATGTTATTATAATGAATGGATTAATAATTTTAATTTTATTTACTTCAGATGCATTTGGTGAGCTACAGAAGTTGTCCTTAGACAGCAGTGGTTTATTGTATCACTGTAGTCAGTATGGAGTGACTCTCATTATTCCAGAGGGAGCAGTACAAGAATCAGCTACTGTATGGTTTGGAGCATGTATGTTTAGTGACAAGTTTAAGTTTGGTGATTATGTACCAGTCACTCCAATTGTATGGGTGCACATTGACCAAAAACTGGATAAAAATGCAGAACTGTGCATTCCACATGATGTTCTTTTTTCAAGTGAAGTCAATCTACAACAATTCAATGTATTAACAGCTCATGATGATGATTGCTCTAAACTTCTTAATTTTTATGAGAATTACATATCACAAGTTCAAGTTATACCTGGGTCGAAAGTTTTTAAAATTTTTTCTCCTCATTTTTGCTCTAATTGTGTCGCTGTCCAGAAAAGAAAGTACAAAACCATACCCAGGAGGTATTTAATAGCGCGAGCTGATAAAAAAAATGGAAATAGAGAACTACTAGTAGAATTCATTTTTTTGTGCCAACAAAAAGGCTGCAAGAAGGTAATCAAGTACATATATTGTAAATAACCCAATTATGCCTTTATATTTCTAGGTTGTAGAAGATCAATGTGCTAAAGAAGGATTTAAAATATTATCATATGAACCAGTCACATTCACTGGTGATGGTCAAGTATCACTGTCTTTTGAACCTCATATTGTTCCTGGTTGGAAAAGAGAAGATGTTGGATTTTCTAAAGACTATGTGAGTTCTACATTCAAATGTGTATAATGTGTTATAATAATTGTAATACTAGATTTCTCTTGAAGATATTGATTATTATCAAATGATGGGTTGTGCAAATGTTGCAGAAGTGACTGAAGATGAACTTGAGCGACTTGAGATGTTAGAGGATCTTCTTTCTTATCCTCCTCGTTTCAGGATACAGTTTATAGCAGATGCAGTAGTGGAAAGGAGTGAAAAGGTGACTGTTCGATTCAATCAAGTTCATCCTCTAGTAAAAAATACAATTCTGTTAAATGCTTCTCTAGAATTACCTCTTTCTCCATCCCCATCTGCAACTAGTACTAGGTCCAGCATTCATCTAATGACATATGGTAATTAAAATTATATAAAATTTTATTTAAAATCTATTTTAGCAAATGATTTGTTGCTTGGAGACTGTCTATATATTATTGCAAGTGAAGGAGATTTAGGGAAGAAATGGTTTGATTTTGGATACAGATTAGGTCTAACTTATGGTCAGCTTCAAGATATTGAATTGACAAGCATTGATTTTACTCAATGCACCAGGAAAGTCATAATTCACTGGAGAGATCAGAATAAATCAAAATCCTGGGAACCTTTAGCAGAGGCTCTTGCTAAAATTGGGTTTCAAGATTTAGCGCACAGAGTCAAAGATAATTTTAATTCACCTTCTGTGCTTGAATCAAAACCTGAAGATAAAGAAGGTCACTATAAGGGAGTTTATTGTAATCTCTGTGATCAATACCATCTTAAACCTGAAGATATTCAACAAGAAGTGCCAAGTAAGCTGTGTTTCTCACATTGCTATAATTAATTTTGTGAATACATCATAGACATTGACTCTCCTCCTGATATGGTTGACCTTGTTAACTTAGTAGCAGCTAGGATCCCAAACAAGTTTTATCAATTTGGAACAGCAGTTCGTATAAATGATGGGTACTTGAAAAGTCTCTATGATGCTTATCATGATCCCATGGATAGATTCACTGCTGTTCTAAATAGATGGAGTGACAATGATCCTGACACATACACATGGAGTACTGTCATTAAGGTACTTCAGTCTCATGCTATTGGAGCTTATGCAGTAGCTCAAGATGTTAAAAAGCATCTTACTACTATTGCAGAGGCGGCTGAGCATACTCCAAACTAATGCATACATGCTAATTTTATTTGTTTCCTATTATAAATTCATTGATTGTATATTTATATTCTACTTTTATGCTGATGACATCAGTTGTTTAGATTTGATTATCTATGTACATCTACCTGTTTTTGATGCATAGTATACTTTTATTTATTTGAAAGTCTCTGCATTAAAGGCTCAACATTGAAGTGGAATGGTGCAATATTTCAGTCACACATTTACTTAGCAAAAAATACAAAAGTAAAAACACTAAATTTATAGTCTAGATCTGCATGCATATTTCAAAAAGCAAAATTAATCAATGTACATATATGTATTTTTTCAGAAGGATAATTAAGTTGACATCCATTCAAGAAGAGGTTCCCGGGCCTGAGTATAATCCCCTGTATCTTGTATGTCGTTATAATATGCAGCTCTATGTCTTTGATGTACTGACCTCTTTCTTTTTAATTTCTCTGAGACCAATGTTTTTGTGGACTGTAAAAGTTGGAACAGCTTCCCTAGTTTATTTGTCACCACTAGGACATGATAGGAGATGATTATGCAGAAAATGATGATAGTGGGGCAAAAAGAAATTGAAATAAATATTGAGACTTCTTTTGGGTAATCATGAAAAAAATATATAGCAATGTAAAACGTGGTGCTGATAGATAGAAGAAGAAAGATGTTTACAGCATTGAGTATTTTATTTTTGAAAGGCAAAAAGCAGGCTTGAAATGCTATGAAGACTTCAAGTATTAGAAACAACAGTAGCTCAAAGATTAATGAGAAAAACAAGTTTCCCAACTCTTGTACTGTATCAATTAGATACACATGCACTACAAAAAGCTGATTTATTGCAAACCAGTACCACCTATTTGCTTTGTAAGGTGCATGGATTGCTTCAAAGAACGGACGAATGTACTCTCTTGTCCTGTCAAATTTTAATAGGCATTTACCAAAGAGTATTATGACCATATATGGAATTAATATAAATCCCACTACAACTGAAGTGATTATCATCAACCATTTATGTTCAACACTAGCATATGTTGTTGTTCCATTGTAATACCAAACTGTTTTGGTATGATATGAGTTTTCATTTCAATGTGAATCTCTGCCGATTTGAACACACTGAGTATTGCTTGAAGTAATTGAGTGAACGAAAGATGAACCACTGTCACAAGAACTTGAACTGATGACTTAGACAAACAATCAGAAACTTTTGATGAACATTTACTCAAAATACCAAGAAAGCCAATAATGACAAGTAAATAAAAAACATTAAAAATGAAAAAGTAGTAGGATTGAATTGGAAAAAAGTAAAGAAACATGAGGGTACTTGCAAACTGGTGTGGTAAAAAGTCCTACACCACTATGGGGCGCCAAACGGGACAATAAGCCATCTATTAAAAAGAGAAATATTTTTCAGCAAGGCGCATCTCCAATTCATAAATTGCAGCTGCTATATACAAATAGGAGCTGCTATATATAAATAGGAGCTGCTATATATAAATAGGAGCTGCTATATATAAATAGGAGCTCCTATATACAAATAGGAGCTCCTATATACAAATAGGAGC